ATTATAAGAATTTGTAATACATTATTATGGTATTTTCATCTCACTACATTAAAATGGTCTATCCATACATCCCATTCCTGTATTTCTGACTGTACATTTACTTAAATATGCTCTACATTAAGCATCCGTAACAAAATTGTTATTCACTGGAGCATTTTCACATGTCTTATCAAAACATAATCCAGTCCAATTACAATTATTACCTAATGAGTCTTCTTTACAATTCTCCTTTTAAAATATCACCTCACAAGTCATATCAATACATCCATTTAAAGTCCTCTTTACAGTACATAATTTAGAATAAGTTTAACATTGCTCATGTGTATTATATACATTTGGAGCATTACTACATGTTTTTAATCTACATTAACTTTGATACCAAAAGCACTCTCTACCTTATTAATCTAATAAACAAGCCTCCTTTATCATAATATTGGTACATTCCTAATTCTAAATACATCCACCATTTAATTTAGTTATACAACCAGATTTATATTATTCACAATCATAATTAGTATTTAATTCTTTTGGAGCATTATCACATGTTCTATCTTCACAACCATTTTTTAATGCATTAACTGTACAATCTGATTTGTATTCTGAACATTTTTAATGAGTATTATACTTTTTGTCTGCATTGCTACAACTATACTAAACACATTATTTAATATTCCAAGAGCAATTTAATAATCCACTCTAACAACTAGTTTCATCTATAAAATCTTCACATTTGCTATAACTATGACAACCACCATTCAAATTAGGTACACAATCACTTAAAAATTATTAACATTCTTCAAATGTTCTTAATAATTCAGATGCATTACTGCAAACTCTTTCTACACATTATTAATTCTTCCAATAACATTCTTTGCCATTCTTATCAATAGTACATGCTTCACTAGTTGGGATATCCACACAATTTCCAAGTTCAATACAACCTCCACCACTCGATAAGATACATCCTTATAAATAAGAATTACATCCTTCATTATTCTTTATACTGATTGGAGCAGATTAACACGATCTGTCAGTACAAGATAATCCATTCCAATTACATCTGATTTGCATAAATCTATCCCAAAAACACTATTATTCACCTTCCTAATTTTAACAACCCCATCCACTCAATTAACATCCACCTTAATTTGATACTGTGCAATCACTATTCACTGCTCTACACTCTTCATCACTTTTCAATGTTTTTGGCAATTATCCACAATCCACACTCTTTTAACAGTTCTCATTCTCCCAAAAACAATAGTTCCCTTGTGTATCTTGTCCACATGATATTGCTGTTTTATAATCTGAACATTCCCCTAATTCTATACATTTCTCTCCATCTGTTATACACTTTCGAGATATAGCTTAACACAATTCATTTGTGCTCTGTAAATAAACACTGCATGCACTAAACTCAATACATTTGTCAACCAAAAATGCACATCCTGATTAATTACTGCAATTCTGCTAATCAAATTGAGAACAAAAAGTTTCACTATCTACTTCATTTATTATTTCTTATTTTAACTTCACTTAGCATTCACCATTCTTCCATTAACAACCCGATTTTATGCAATCATCCTACACCATCAACTATTAGCATCCACATTCATAATCACTTCCAACATTGATCTCTTTCCCAATTAATACATCACTTTACAGAACCAAAACCAATATCAATATCAAATGTTTCATATATTATATATATAATTACTCCTATACTCAATAATATCAATAAACTATAATTCAATTCAAATTTTTCCATCTCTCTATTCTTTTTTGATTATTTGACCAATACAAAAAAAAAATCTTATTTTTATTCAATCTCTAAACAAATTCTAGCCTTAGTTTTTAATGAGAATATCTTTCCAAACACAGTATTCATACTAAATTTTACTCCTAACATATTTTTGAAAATAAACATCAACAAATCATTCTCTCTTGAATTAAAAGTATAAACCGATAGTTATTAGTTATACTACGAATTCTATGGTACTATTTCTAAATCTACCGCTAAAATAAAAGAGTATTCAGATTCTATATTTTATAAACTCAAAAATATTATATTATATAAAAAACGAATTCATCTATGGTTCATCAAAAGATTGTTCTCTTAGCCCTGATTTGTTTAGTTTAAGCAACTACAGTTACAAAGTAAGATATTGAATAGTTAACTAATATAGTAATTAAGGTGTTATGGATTCATATGTTAATCCAGGACTGTAATCTTCAATAGATGAATTAACATAATCAAAAATTGGACATATGGTTATTGATTTAGCTGAAGTTACTATGAGAGTTACTGGAGCTGTTGATTCATTAGTAGAAGGAGTCAAAGCCTTTGGTCGTTAAATTGAAGAGAGATTGAATTTAGAAAATACACAATGGGAAGTTGTTGAAAGTGAACATAATGCTAAAGTTATCTCACTTAGTTCATAAGCTAATTAAGCTGAATTTGATATTAATAGAGAAAAGAAAGTATTAAATTCTGAATTGATTCCAAGACTTCATGAATTAGATGATGTATTTATTATAATCATAAATAAATTAATAGATCTTATTAGGACTTAAAGCTAAATAAACAGATAATGCATAATCATTTAAAGAAGCTGAAGCTGCTAGAAATTCATAACATGATTCATTTGTTTTAACAACTACTGAATTTACAGATGCATTAAGAAATATTGATGAAGCATTAGATTTATTAACTGATTTATTTAAAAGTGGTGAAGTTAGAGCTGCATTCATTGAAGTTACTGATGAATAAAAACATAAAGTTAATAAAGCATTAAGATAAGTTAAAGCTAATACTGAAAATTTTGGACATTAATATTCTTCATTTATTTAAGCATTAACTAATTTAACTGAAGGATTCAATTTCAAAGATAGATAAGTTTTAAAGGAAATGTGTGATTTCTTAAATAGTTTAAGATTAAATATATTTGATGCTTTAACTAAAGCTTATAAAGATGAAGACAGTTAAAAATAATAAGATGAATTAAGAAGATAATAATTAACATCTGAAAAAGCAGTATTTGATTAATAATATGCTGATTTCTATTAAGAAAGAGAAGATAAAACTGTTAGAATATCTGATGTTTAAACTATGATATCAACTAGAGAAGCTGATCTTAAAGCTTATTAAGATAGATTAAGAACTGAAAATAATAATTATTCAGCCAATCTTAAAATACATGATGATATTGTGGTATTCTTATCAAATTTATATAGTCATCTGTTTAATAAGAATTAGCAGTCTTAGCTAAAGCATTGTAAGTGGTTTAAACTCCACCATTCTTAGATTTCTTAAATGGAAGAATTGCTAAAGCATGA